GCAGTCACCTTGGGACATAAGTAAAAGCCAGAGGACAAAACTTTCAGGATGGTTGAGCCTCCAATTCAGCCCTGGATACCTCTCCCAGCCTTCTTGACATGCGAGGAAACAAACCTCTCACTTGCTTAAGCTGACATTTTCCACATTGCCAGTGGTTCACAGCTGAAGACAATCCTGATTGATACGCTGTCTTCCCACCACCCATATACAACCACTGCTAATATTTTGCCCTCTTTTCTTCCAGACCTGTCACTGTTTAGAGACAGAAGCCCTGTATTTTAATTCTGGCTCCTACACTAGCCAGGTAGGTCTCTAAAGCAAATCACTTGACCTCTTTGTGTCTCTGTTCTTGATCTGTAAATATAAGCTAATAACAGTCACTTCTGCGTGGACCTTTCTGAAGTCTCAATGGACTGATACATAAAGTGATAAGCACAGTGCTTAGAGCTTAATAAGTGCTTAAAAATACATTTGTTGCTAATATCAACATTTTATATCCTTTTTTGCATATTATACCATAAGAATTTTCCTTGCTATTAAGAAGTCATTATAAACACCATTTTAATGGTGCCTAGAACTTCACAGACACTTAACAAATGTTATTATTTACATCAAAATTTTACATCCTATCTTTTTACTTAAAATTATGCCATATGAATTCCTCCATGACAATAAAAAAAATCTTTATTAATATCCATTTTAATGCTTGCTTGGCATTTTTTCATATGGCTGAACCAGGGATAAGAAAACTTTTTATTGAAAGGCCAGATAGTAATATTTTAGGCTTTGCAGGCCATATGGTCCCTATGACAAGTACTCAGCTCTGTCACTGTAGTGCCAAAGCAGCCCCGCACATATAAAGAAAAGGCCATGGCTGTGTGCCAATAAAACTTTATTTACAAAAACTAATGGCGAGCTGGACTGGACCAAAGGGCATAGTTTGCAGACTCCTGGCCAAGATCATCACTTACTGAACCAATCCCTCTTATTGTTAGATCTCAGGCTGGTACCCAATTTGGAGCTACTGTAAATAACTCTGCAGAAAATAACTTGGTACTGATGTTCTTGACTGCGTTTCTTATTATTTCCTTAGAAACATTTCTCAAAAGAAGAATTACAATTCTAAGGCTCTTGAGTCATATTGACAAATTCGGTAGGCATCAATTTTTTTTTTTTTTTTTTGGAGCCAGGCTTTGCACTTTGACCTACTTTTGTTTGCCCCACTGCTGTTTTCCAGATGTTTCCTGAGCAGGAATTCTGTCTCTTCTGTGAGTTCCAATCTCTCAAGTGTAAAGATGTGACATCGTATTCTACTATTTATATGCCTTGCCCTCAGTTTTGCCATCTCCCTCCCCCACCACACACACACACACACACACACACCTGGGCAGTCTCTGTTGTGACTGCATACATGCGAGGTACAAAGGAAACTGGGTAAGTGGCTGAGCAAATAAATCCTGCATATTTAAAACGCCAAGAAGGCCTGAGCCAGATCCATATGGTCAATTTCTGATACTTGAATGAAAGGGACCTTCATAAACTGCTGCTGATAAATAAACTTCATCCTTTCCCAGACAAGCCAGGGCAAGATGTCAAAGAAGATAATGATTTGTCCCAAAGTCCTATGTCCCTTTTTGCTTGCCCGGAGCCTGGTGCTACCTATCCCACCCTACCCCTTCCCCAGAGAGGCCCCTGAAGGACACTGATGGCACCGCCTGGACTCTCCACACCCGCTTCCATCTTCCGCCAACCTCACTTCTGTTCCAGTGCCACACCATGGCGGACCCTCTCACCATTAAGTGAGACGGAAGACGGCGGCCACCTCTGCCAAAATCAAGTTCGTGAAAAACTGAAAATGTTCTCCTACATTTCTTTCCACCTTGATTTTTTTGTGAAACCAAATGGCAGTTTCCAAAGGTTAAAAACTGTTATTTTCCCAGACAAATTCCTGTGAAGTGAAAATTGCTAGTTTCACACTGCTCTACCACTGATGACTATTATTACTATGGGTGCTAGATTAGTACAATTGGATCAGAAAAAAATAAATCTTGGGTTATATTTCCAGCAACTTCCAGTATCCAGACTTTCACAGACCAAGAACCACTGTGAGGCCTTCCCAAGGTTCTGGTCACCATGTCCACCATCGCCATCCCTATGGATGGCCCCAGAACCCACACTCCCTGCTGGTCACTACCATATTCAAGAAGTCTCTTATCCTCCCAAAGAAAGGGATGTGCTCCTTGGGAGACCAGGAGCACATCCCCTGTAAAGAATATGGACGCAGACCCTCTGAGAAAAGACATACAATGTTTCCTAGTCATTTCAGAGTGGGATAAAGAGAATTTCTTAAAATGATGACCTGTGCCAGAAGCCATCCTCCTCCCCGTTCCCATTCTCTTAGTTCACAGGGCTGCCATGAGTGGGTGGCTTAAACAGAAGTTTATTTTCTCAGTCAAGGAGGCTAGAAGTTCAAGATCAAGGTGTCAGCAGGATTGTTCTTCTGAGGCCTCTCTCCTTCCAGCATCTTCACACGGTCTTCCCTGTGTGTGTGTGTCTGTGCCCTGATCTCTTCTTATAAGGACACCAGTCATACTAGATTAGGGTCTGGCCTAGTGACATTATTGTAACCTCATTATCTTTTTAAGACCCTATCTTCAAAAAAGAAAAAAATAGTCATATTCTATAGTACTGAGGATTAAGACTTCAACATATGAGTTTTAGAGAAACACAATTCAGCCCATAACACTCCACATCCCCAACTCAGCCATCTTACCATCCCTTGGTAGGCCATCAATGGCAAAAGGGCTTTGGGGTTTATTGAGTTTCATGGTTTTCGAACTGTGTTCCGTGGAGCACTGTGGTTCCTAAAAGTGGCCCTGAGGACTCCCGTGGTTGCAAGGGAGAAAGCAAGCAGAACTCTGTAACCCCAACTCGGCCTCAACCAAATCTGTTTCACCTCAACTGTCCTATCCTGAGGCTCCATTTAAGATTTCGTTTGACCAAAGGGCTCTGTTTTACAAAATGTTTGAAAGTTGCTGATTATTTTTCAAATGATCAGACCACAGTGCAGAGTGGTGGGGAGAGGCACGTGGGGTCGTACAGCTACTTGCTGGCATTGTCTGGGGGTGGTACGAGCTCTCCCTTCACGATCGTCAGTTCCTTTCACTACTTCTTACCAAGGTGGCTCTTAAGTGAAACCTTGGGAACCACTGCGTCATAAGGGTTTTGTGACCTCACATGTCACATAGCATCCTCCTAGAGGTCTGGACATGTGGATCTGGGCTTACATGTCGGAAAATCTGAGTCACCACTCTCCTGACAGATATCGCTTGAAAATTTTCACTTAAGACAAGACGAAAGAAGTGTCCCGTTTAGGTGTGTTTGGGTGTCTCATGTTAGGAGCCACGCACAGGATGAGAAGTGATAAATAGCTTTGGCGACAAGCCGTATAACTGTGTTTGCGTGCTTTCCTGGGTGTCTGGCTGTCAACAGCAAAGATGGAGATGAGGGAAGAGCATCGGTCTCTAACTTAAAACAAAACAAACAAACAAAAATCTCCTAAAGCCCAACATGCTGAGATCACCAAAGAATACAAGTTTTGTCATGTGTACGTTCTGAAGAAATACCCTGTACTTGGACTATCCCAAGAAGCTCTTGGCTTTGAAAAGCCAAGTGATCCTTTCACCCAGAGACAGGGTGACAGGGGAAGGTATGCCCCCAGGCCATACATCTGAGCAGACCCTGCACTCTCTCCCTGTCCATCATCTCCCGATTCCCGGAGGAGATGGGAACTGGAGCCAACTGCATCGGACCAGCGCTTTCCTGCGCTCCAAGGTAAACTGGGTGAGAAAAATGAGAGTCTCACCCAAAACAAGAGTCCTAACCAACGATGGAAAGCTACTTCCTTAGGCTCTTCTTTGGAATGTTCTGGAAGGAACAGTGCCAGGCAGTTGCGGTCACCTCATTCTGCTCCCCTCCTGTTATTAATCGCCTGGAGCAACTCTTTATAAAGTCACTAAAAGACTTCTTGGAGGAACAGCTGGCCCTACAAGGTAGAAGGGGCCTTACCAATTCACGCTGCTCCTCCGCAAGCCCTGCTCCTTGGTCTGGGCCTGTTTCGCCCCGCCACAGCCTGGCTACCATGGGGCTTCCAGCAGGACTCAGCTTGAGCTCACCCTTTGCAAAAGCATTTCCCGCCCACTGCCCATGACCACCCCGCAGCCTCACTGGGAGGTGTTAGAAATGCAGAGTCTTGGAGCTGCCCCAGACCGACTGAATCAAGATCTGCATGTTTGCAAGTCCCCATTAAAGTGTGAGAAGCATTGGTGTCCTAAAAGTTATCTTCGGGGTCTTGTTCTAACTGAAGCATAGCGCGAGAGAGCCCGTGTGACAAACACTGTGCGGTGGCAGGCTGTAACACCAAGATGCTGTGTGGTAAGAAAAACTAATGGCGGTTTATAAGCCCTATAGTACGAATCACAAGGCAGACTCCGGTGAAGTGTCAGGATGAACAGCAGCAGGATGAATTACTCAAGATGGATAAGGACTTCCCCAAATTCTGCTAGAGAACGGAGCCAGCTAGTAACAGCTACTGTCCAAACATCTCCTGTGCATAGGCACTGTGCTAACTGTTTTGTGTGCCCTGCATGCATTTAATTCTTACATCGATGCTATGAGGTTGGCATTCGCATTACAAATGAAAAGATGGACGCTTATCATACAAGCGCACTGCAAAATAATGATGCTATTCCATAAAATTGAATATTCTTGTCCCCTAAGATTCAGCAATTCCACTTCTATATGTACGTCCTACAGAAACTCAAGGCATTCATGCCGTAGGAGGCACGTACTAAAAGTGCTGTTTTCAGTTGTTAAAAAAAACAACAAAAACTGTATACAACCCAAATGCCCATCAAGAAAATGGCTGGGTAACTAAATTGTGGTATATTCGTGCAATGGGATACTCTCCAGTAGGAAAAAACACAGCCTCACACAATAACAAGGATCAATCTTAGAAATATATTTAAGTGAAGAAGAAAACAAATCACAGAAAACCCCATACAGTACAATACAACTTTTTAAAACTCGGAAAAAAAATAAAAGAAAAAAAGAAGCAAAAATAAGCGGCATGTTATTTAGGGATGCTGATATAAATAATAAACATATTTTGTTTTGTTTTTAAGGAAGGCGACCACAGACACATTCCAGATCACGGCTTCTTCAGCGGTGAAGGTAGCGGGTTGACGGGAAGGGGCCCGTGGCTGTTGTGAAGATGCTGGGAAAGGTCTTATGCTGGGAACTGAGTTCACAAGGATTCATCATTCACTTGTATGTTGCTTGTCTTCTTTTATATGAGCATTAAGTTATAATTTCTAAAAAGAAATTAAAATGTTGAAAACCGAGTCTCAGAAAAATTGAATAGCTTGATCAGGTTTACACAGCTAGTAACTGGTGGTGCTGGATTTGAACCCAGGCAATGTCCGCAAAGCCCACGCAAACCACTGAGCTATGCTGCCTATCGTGGGGTAGGCTGGTGTCGGGCAGCTCCAAACATCACCCACAGGTGAGACTAAGGGGCCGGGGTGGACTGATGTCAAACAACCCATCTCTCTCCATGAAGGGACATGCAGACATCCCACGCCAGAAGCCATCAGGGTGAAGTCAGCGTTGGCCTGTTCTCTTCTCCCAGCAGGTTTGAGGGGACCACAACCTGACTCATTCCACTGGACACACGGTGACCCTAGTTCACAAAGGGCTCTCAGAAATCTGCCTGCATTTACTCCAAGCTCAGCCTCTGTGCATTTACCGCAGATGTGTAAAATCAGGGAGAGAAGCAGAAAGCAAAAGAGCAGGTAACCTCAGTCAGATTTCGGTTCAGGGTTCCAGCTCCCAACATGGCTGACAGCGTGTGAGAGGAGCCTGCCTTCGGGTGACACGTCACGATTGCCCAAAGGACTTCTGTCCTCTCACGGCTTCCCAACGCTCAACTCGGTGTTCGCGAATAAGGGCAGTGACACCCAGAGAGGGTAAACAAACTGCCCCAAGTCAAGGCTACGTGACCTTGGCCGATTGCCTTCCCTTTCTGGGCGTCCAGTTCCTCATCTGTAACAGAAGGGCTGACTCTGGGGATCCGGAAGGGGTCATCAGCTCTGAAAAACTTACAGTCGTCAGGAGAGCGAAACCCAGAGAAAATCCTCATCTCCCAGTTTTCCAGGTTCTTCTGGAAGGAGTACTCACTCCAGGACCTCTGCACTAGGAAGATCCCTCGGGTTCAAAATAACCAAAAAGTAAAAGAGAAAGACAAGAACATTTCAGGGGAAGAAAAAACAAACAAACAAACAAACAAACAGGCAACCCCTGTGGCTCTATTTATCATTTAGGCCAAATTCTGGAGCGGCTAGGAGAATAATTTGGACTTCTTGTTCACTGCGTGGTTCTGATAGCAAACCTCCCTTCCCCAAGTGAACACAAAGCAGAGGGAGAAGCATGCAGAGGGAGAAGCATGCAGCTGGTCGCGTAGCCGGCCCCATGCGAAAACCACGGGCGCTGGTTTAATTCACCCACTGCCTCCCAAACTGCGCTCGAAGCAAAGTCAGATGTCTCCTTTCCAGAAAGTGGAAGAGGAAAATATCAATCTGTTTCGGGGAAAGTTACTCCCCAAGTGAACACAAAGCAGAGGGAGAAGCGTGCAGAGGGAGAAGCATGCTGCTGGTCGCGTAGCCGGCCCCATGCGAAAACCACGGGCGCTGGTTTAATTCACCCACTGCCTCCCAAACTGCGCTCGAAGCAAAGTCAGATGTCTCCTTTCCAGAAAGTGGAAGAGGAAAATATCAATCTGTTTCGGGGAAAGTTACGAATTGCATGTGCCTGGAATACTTGATATATGACTGTAGCCTGGTGAGCAACAAGTGATTCTTGCTGTTGCATTTGATCTCGGGATGGTAATGTGCTCTCCTGACATCATCCAAATGGGGAATGACTGAGGATGTTTTATATAAGATGGTTGCAAACTTCAAAGGCCACTCTTAACCCCGAACCCCCCCCATCTCCCTCCCTTTCTTCCTCCTTTCCCTCCAGGCCCTCCTCTCCCTTCACCCGGCAAATTGTTTCGGGGCCAAAAGTGATTGTAGGATGATCAAGAATCAAGGAACTTGTGGCAGGTGGTACCACCTGTGTCTGGACAACAGCCTCACAAGCCACATCTGCTCCCCAGTTGTGTGCGTGGGGGGTGGGGGGTCGTCTAAGAAGCATTCCCAGAGGGGCCGAGCCAGCAGCCCAGGCCGCCATGAAGGGGAGCTGGCAGGGGCTGATTCCCCATCACCCTCTGTCTGTAAGAGATGGAGGAGGGCTCCCTAGGGAACTGAGTATCAGCATGCAGGCCCTGGTTACACCCCCACATTTATCACAGATAAGGAAACTGAGGCCCCAAGAGGTGAGCCCAAAGTCCCCCAACACTGAGGAGCAGGGGCAGAAGCAGAGCTCAGGCACCTGACTTTCTGCCCTGAATTCTCCCCCTGCACCAACCTTTACACGCATGAGTGGGAAGGGTATCCCATTCACCTTCATCCTCCCTTAAATTAATTAAAGAGAACTTTCAGCAGGGCTTACTCTGTGCCAGGCACTGTCCTAAGCACTTTCTACATGGATTAACTCATTTTCCAATCACATTAACCCAATGGTTCACAGCCAGAACAATTTTGTCCCCCCACCCCATTGTCATAATGGGATAAGGGGGTGCTACTGGCACCTAGTGAGTAGACACTAGGGATGTTGCTAAACATCCAGCACTGGACAGGACAGCCCCCCACAACAAAGAACGATCCAGCGTAAAATGTCAACAGTGCTATGGTCGGGAAACCTTACATTAACCCGTTGAGATGATTATTTATTATTATTATTATTATTATTATTATTATTATTATTATTATTAGTGTTAGAAGAAAGAGGGAACTAAGAGTGTATAGAATGGTTAAGCAGTTGTCATTGTTGTGATGGTGGTGGTACTGCTGATCATTCTCATGTTACAGATGTGGAAACAGAGATAAGTGACTTGGGGGTTCCCAAAGCTCTCAATGGCAGGGCCGGGATATAAACCTAGGCAGACAAAAACTCCCAGTAAGGACACAAGTTTCCCCTCTAATTATGCAGGGAATGCAGGAAGTCAAGTTCATCTAAAATGCCCCAGAAATACAGATCAAGCCAAAGAGCTCGGCCCTCACGCAGATCCACTCCCCTCCCCAGCTGGCACATGCTCTCTGGCCTTTTTCTCCACACGTGCAGGAATGTATAGAGCTCTACAGTCTTGTTGTGTGATTGGAGAATACATAAATGAAATGGTTCTGTACTTAGCTTTTGTGATTTGTTATTTTTCACTTACCTATTGTCTTCGAAATCATTCCATAATAGAACATGCAGGCATAGATTGTTTTCAAACAGCTGCTTACTATTCTGTGGTTTGGATATCATTACTCCGGTATCAATGAGCATGTGGGTTGTTTCCAGTTTGGGACTCTTTGAAACATATGGTACGGTGGTCAAACATAGAGGCTTTGGAATCACAGAAATCGGGATTCGAATTTTGGGTTAGCTGTGTGATCTTGGAGGAGTTCCTCAACTTCTCTGAGCCTTAGATTCTTTTATCTGTCAAATGGGAGCCTCACAGGCTTTATGAAGAGAGATGAATGCAGTGCCTGGCACATAGGAAGGTTTAAAAGTGGCAGAATTTGCTATTATTATTACTAGGCATTATTATAACATACAAATGTGGTGGTGGTGGTGATAATCCAATTAATCAGCAGTCTGCCCAAGTCAGTTCACCCAGGAGTACCATCAAAATCCTCTAAGGGAAACTGGAACAAATTATGGATTATTTCATGTCCAAAGACTTGAAATACTTTCCCAGCTTTAACTCACTCAACTACAGGTCACTCATCAGGATCTGGGGACATGGCGGGGGCGGGGAGACTACAGAGGTTCATGTGGACCACGTTCCAACCTGACCAACACAGAAATGCCAGCATCAACAGGAAGACTCAGCCCATGAGTGCACACAGAAATTAAAATAATAATAATAAAAAAAGGACAGGGAAGTTCCATGCCCAGCTGACCCCTGAACTAGACTAGATTAAGACATGATACTTGACAAGCCCAGCTCATGATGCAGTGGGCCATGGTCAGCATGAGTTTCAAGGGGCGCCCCTATAGGAATGAGACAGCTCAGAGGCTGAGGTGGACCTCGGGGCTAAACTTTGTAAACAGGGCTCCACTTAGCTCCATCTTGGGTATTCCTCAAGAGGAGCCCCCAAGCCCGTTGGAGATGGAGGGATGAGGGATACCTCTTCGAGGGCCTTAAGCAGGGGTCCTGGGGCAGAGGCTTGCCGGGGAGCTTGCAAATGGAGACGATTATGCCAAGAAAAGATTCCCTGTACTACTGTTTTTATTGCCCACATCCTGGATGGGAGGGCTGGGGGCAGGGAAGGAGCGGAAGCCAATTGTAATGGACCCCTGTGGATCCCTTCCCCCTGCTCTTCCTTCAGAGGTCTCGAAGGGCTCTACCACTCTGGCCATGAAAGTGGGATCTTAGTGGGTGGACCAATTCCAGTAGAACACCTAGAAACAGTGACTGGTCTTAGGATGGCACATGACTCAAAATAAGCCAATCAGAGATCTCCATTTTTTCCAAACTAGGAGGAAAAGGGTAATAGCTTTCCTTCCTACGATAACAAACCTTGTGGGTATGTCTCTAGCTTCTGGCAGCTATGGAGGCGTCTACGAGCACAAGGCCAACACAGGAACATCCATGGAGAGACGGAGAGTCTGGCAGCTGTCCAAACCCCAGAAGCACTCCTCCTCATCCTCCTGGTTACCTAAGCCAACCGATTTATTTTTTGCTTAAGCCTATTTGAGTTGGGTTTCTGTCATTTGCAAATAAAAAGGTTCTGAGTAATACATCAAACAAACCTGATAAGGCAGTGCTGCAGCTGGGGATGGTTTAAGTGGGCGTGAGCAATATCTCAGCGACACCTGAGGCTCATAGATCAAGGGTTCCGGAAGAGTCCTTGATCATATTAGCCCCTCAAAGACCATCATCATTTTTCAAAGACGGGAGGCTTGTCTGACCCAAAGCAAGAACCAGCCCTATCTGTCCTTGGCAGTGGTCCTGCACTCCCACGAGCATACTAGACACGACTCTTCCTGAGGGCCAGCACATGCTCGGGTTCCTGAGGGGCAGCTTTGGAAAGAAAGACCCTCAACTCAGAGCTGGGCTGAGGATGCACATAAAAGCCCAGAGAGAAACTGAATCCTAGGCAGGGGGGAAACAGACTTTAGCCAGAAAGAGATGGGAAAGAAACAAGCTCCTGAAGGAACTGGCTCAGAACTCCCGAAGCCATGCCGAGAAGAGTAAGCCCGGCCATAGGGGAACTTGGTGACAGATCTATTTGAAAATCAGATCTCTATAGGTCAGACGTTCAGTACTCTGCCCTACACACATGGGCTCTCTCCAGGATGGCAGCTGTGCCTGGTCACCTGCCAGGCTCAGCTCCCAACCAACCAAGTGTCTAAGGGAGCACATATGCATACTTGCATGTGTACCACATGCATGTGCAAATGTGCAGGCATGTGTGCACTGGAACCGAGGGGCCCTGAGATGGAACCCCTGGAGGGCTCGCTACCCTATGTGAGTCTGTGTGAGGTCGGAGGCGGGAGGGAGGTACGATGTTTGTAAACGTGGTGAGTGCGTGCAGGTGAGCAGGTGTGCGTGCCTGTGAACAGGGCAGAGGAGGGAATGGGAGTAAGAAGTACTTAAAGATTATGAGGAAGTGGGGTAAAGGGTGGTGAGACAATGTGGGAATAGTGTGTGTGTGCGCGTGCGTGCATGTATGCACGTGCCTACACATGACAAAACAGGCCATGAAACAAGGAGTCCGACTTGACTTGTGGAAATGAAATGGGTGGGGTGTATATCTACCTGCTGGGTGTGTATGAGGTGAGGACTATGAGCGAGGGGTCTGCTGGGGGCCTCCATGCTAGCCTTTCCAGGGGAGGGAGTGGGCAGGTCCACAAATCAGGCCCCGTTCTCCCAGAATCTGCACCCATATAACCAGAAAGGGCCATGGCAGGCTGGTGCAGCCAAGGCCCTCCCCGACCTGGAAGGCTGCCTGACTTGGAAGTCCTGCCCAGAAAGGAAGACTGGTTCCTCACCCCAGTGTGCCAATGCACCTCACGTGTAGCCTGGAAGCTGGGGAAATGAATTTGTTGGGAGA